TGCTTCACCAGATGGAATTTCGAGTCTAAGCTCAGTTTATGAGTGATGATCTCTGGTGGGATTCCTGTCATGTCGAGATAGGACCAAGCAAAACAATCCATGTTAGCTATAAGAAATTGAATGAATTTTTTCTTGAGCTCGGGAGTTAACCCCGTGCCCAGGTATACCTTTTGATCGGGTAGATATTCGATCAGCATGACCTGCTCCAGCTCTTCGACCGTTGATCGAAATCATCGGGGACTATGAAGGATCGAGGTACCCCATAATCATCGTCTTCGTCAGTCCCCTTCTTATCTAGTTGGGTCGAGGCTGACGTCTGTGATTGTTATTTGGCTTCCTGTTTTGCTTTCGAATCTGACTCCTTTCTCGATGAGAATGCCGATATTAGAATTACTTCATCGATGGAAAACATTTCCTTCGTGACGGGCTACTCCCTGTAGATTGTTTTAATCCCTTCTAGTGTTGGGAATTTTAGCACCTGGTGAAGGGTCGAGGGCACAACCCTCATGTTGTGGATCCACGATCTCCCGAACAGGGCGTTATATCTCATGTCCCCTTCGATCACATAAAACTTGGTCTCCTGGATGGTCCCAGCTGTGTTCACTGGTAATGTTATTTCTCCCTTAGTAGTTTCACAAGCCATGTTGAATCCGTTTAGCACTAGAGCCGCGGGCACGATTTCGTCCTGTAGGCCGAGTTGTTCTACGACCCTTAATCGAATGATGTTGGCTGGATCAAATAACACATGCTTAACTCGAATTTTATTCATTAGTACGGATATTGCCAATGCATCATTATGGGGTTGTATGATTCCTTCTACATCCTCATCGTTGAAAGATAAGGTTCCTTCTCGTATGTAGTCCCGAGTTCGTTTCTCCCTCGTGATTGAAACCTTGGTGCGTTTTAACATCGAACTTTGGGGAACATCGACCCCTCCGATAATCATATGAATGACGTGTTGAGGTTCTTCTTGCTTGTTTTATTTATTGGAATCCCTATTTCTGAAATGGTTCTTGGCTCGATCACTCATAAACTCCTGAAGGTGCCCGTCGTAGAATAACCTGGCTACTTCTTCTCTCAACTGTCGACAATCTTCCGTTTTGTGGCCATGGGTGCCATGATATTTGCACATTTGTTGGGATTTCTCTGGGCTGGATCGGTTTGTAAAGGTCGAGGTTATTTGGTATCTTTGATGCGTCCGATAGCCGATACGATGCCGGCTGCATCAATATTAAAGTTATATGTTATATTTTGTTAATCATGGTGCCTCTATAGGTCCGATAGGCCTATCGAAGCCGTTCTTACTCATAAGCCCTCGAGAGCTCTGGCCTCGATCACTCATCCTTTAATTTCGTACAGGATTTCGCCCAGATCTGCTACTCCTACGATCTCCATTATACGATCCCTGTCAATGTCCCTCTTGATTCTATCAACGGTCGTGGTAGGATAAACGGACTCGGAAGAAGTTCCAAGCTGGTCGTCTTCGACCCTGATCTTTGATTGATACCGATTGTGCACATCGGCCCAAGTAATAACCTGGTATTCTATCAAACTCTGCTTCAACTGCTGCAAAGCCACTAAACTTCGAACATTGAGTCCTTGGGTGAAAGGTTGAACAACCCAATCATTGGCGACCGGTGAAAGATCCATTCGTTCCATTTGGAATCGAGACACGAATTCTCTGAGCATTTTGTTGTCCTTCTGCCTTACCTTGAAAAGGTCAGACTTCTTGGTTTTGACCTTAATGGCCCCAGCATGTGCCTTTACAAAAGAATCTGCAAGCATAGCAAATGAATTAATAGAGTTAGGTGGTAAATTGTAGTACCATATCATAGCTCCCTTTGACAGGGCTTCCCCAAATTTCTTTAGCAAGACAGATTCGATCTCGTCATCCTCTAGATCATTCCCTTTGATAGCACATGTTTAAGAGGTGATATGCTCGTTTGGGTCGGTCGTTCCATTGTATTTAGGAATCTCGGGCATGCAGAACTTCTTGGGAATCGGTTTGGGAGCCGTGCTCGGGGGGAAGGGTTTTTGCACAAACTATTTGGAATCCAGACCCTTAAATATTAAAGGTGCCTCCGGGATTTGATCGACCCTGGATTTATAAGTTTTCACCATCTTGTCGTTAGCCTCGATCTTCTTTTTCCCCGACTCAACTCGTTTTGTTAGTTCTTCGGGCATCTTCATGATTACAGGATCGGCCCCGATTCCTTCTAGTTCGATTTCCTTGAAACCGATTCGACCCTATGGACAAATTCCTGGGACGGCTCGGGCTCGATCCTGCTCGGTGGGTGATTCTGGTTTTGGAGCTGGGCTATCGCTGCTTGTTGAGCCTGCAACATTTCGAAGATCACCTGCAGGCTGATCCCGCCCTCTTCGCCGCCACGTATGCTTTGAGCGGCTGATCGAATGTCTCTATGGATGCTGCTCTCGGGATCGATGGCCAAATTTGCATTGATGGCTACATGCGAGCTGACGTCAATTGGATCTACAACCGGAACTCCATCGAGGCCAACTGGAGGTACGTCGTTCCCTGGTGCTATGTTATAATTTTCGTCGTGGTGATTGAAATCATTGTCTGCGTGTAGGGGTGTTGACTGAGAGTTCAATATTTTGGTCATGGAATCAAAGATACTCCAAAGAACAAGTGTAAAATAGTGGGTGTTATGAAAGTTTGTACCAGGTAATCACTATCTTTAGCCCCACGGTGGGCGCCAAACTGTTTATCCTAAAAATCGGATAATAATTAAATTTATACGCGATTTTAAGGATACGTGATATAACTTGATACAAATTAAGGAAACAGATTAAAATTGAAATTGACGATAAAAGAATTAATGCAAACCACACGAATCGAGCAGCCTTATGCCAAACTGTTTATCAAATTGAACAGCCTTGGCCCTCGAGTTCGATCACCTTTGATCCGAGAGATGTCTCAACTGATGTATGAACATAATAACAAGATGATAAAAGCTAGAAAATGACAGTATATTATTTTATGTTGCGTAATGTGTCCTCTTACAAATGATCAGTCCCCCTTTATATAGTAGGAGAGTCCTACTCTTGATACAATTCTATACAAGGTAAGAAATCTCATGATTTGCTAATCAATCGGCCTATCCTTGATACGTGCCGAGATTTCCGCCGTGATCTACAACCAATTGCGGATATTTCATCCTTCTATTATTCGGCTTGGTAAATTTCCCTCGATCTCGTCTGATCTCGATTTTGTTCGATGACATAGTCTCGAGTTTAACGATATAGGTTCGCACCTCGGTTTGATATAATTCGAGGTTGAACTTTAACCTACTATTTTTCAGTCTCGATTAGTCGCACAAGAGGCGAACCTGGTTTTGACCGTATACACATTGATTTTACGAAATTTTATAAACCAAACACAACGTGCAAATTGCTAACATAATAGAGACACGTCACAGAATTATTAATCCAGAAACTTGATTATAAATATATACTAATGGATTGAAGGAAAAAACATCACAAGGAATTAGCATATAAGTTCACAATAACACAGATTGAATTTTTTTTTCAGAAAAGCAGAACAAACAGCATCACAGTAGCAGATTATTACAAAGACAAGCGCTTGAAGAAAAAATCACTCTCCATGTTGTGACAACGTAATTGCGCATGTAGTCCTCTTGTGGCCATATTTATTGGCAAATTATATTGAGCATTTATATCTCCATTTATATGGTCGAGGATTGTTTTTTCAAGAAAAGTAGCATCAATGCATTTATAAACGCCTCCATAATCATGATAGTTTACCCACGAAGAAAACTTGATTCATCAAGACTGTGACTGGGCTGGGTTGTAGCAGAATAAATTTGCTGAAAATAGCGGCCGACTGCTCGATAGCCTCGTCATCATTTTTTTGACAATTATTCATAAATCATAGATTCTCCAAAATCATCCCCTGTTGAATGATGATAGTGGTGATCGATAGTGATAATGCTTCTATTGCCGCTGCGGCATTTGAACTCGGGATGAAACTCTCAGCCACTGTTATTCTTAGAATCGGCCTAGACTACTAATAGCAATATCAAGAAGATACAAACGAATATTATTACTAAGTTTTTATGAATGAAGCAAATACTTTTTCCCTTGTAGGCGCTTCACTAATCGTATAACTAATCGACACGTCGCTCGACCAGCATTTCAATTTTCAACTGACCACTTTCAACCAACTGTTTACAGGTATATTGCCGTTGAATATACAATTGGTGCCTTCACCTTTGTCCTTGGATGCCAAATCCAACAATTTGAAGTCTACATCCATTCACCCAAATACTCTTTACCTGTTACTATAACGTCCTCCATACCAACTAGACTAAGGCTAACAAATACTAATAAATTGTCTATAATAAACTAAGAATAGCCCCAACCAAGTCTTAATAAGCCTAGCAGACTGAAGTTAGTAAAATAATTATTTATAATAAATAAAGAATGGTCAATTAAATCTGAAGAACTAGAATATCATATATATGCTTCCAATTGCAAAGCAACAAGAGATTTCATTACTTACCAGACGAAAATATGGTTGAATATATCTATTGCGATTAATACCCAAGCAAATGTACTCAAAAAACAGTTTAATAGAGTTTTCCGGAATAAAATGAAGATCGATATCCGAGCAAGATGAAGAGGATGAATAGAAGGAGCTTCGGGGGACTAAACAAGGAAGAAATGTGAGCACAACTACTGAATCTAAGCAATTTTTACAGCATGGAACTAGCAGTTGAGGAAGAAGGAGCAATAGGGAGGCAGCTGAATTTTTTCCATTTTAGCAACTTTGCAATAATTATTTGTTGGACCAAATCGTATTTATAATTACTTTGGGGTTGATTCTGAGTATTTCATAATGAGAATTAGCCTAATTAACACTGAGTAATTTTGAAGAATTAAAACTTAGGGTTCAAATCTTTAAAAAAACTTGAAAGGGGTGCTGCCACGCCCCTAGTAATACAAAATGTTTGACTATTGCAGATTGGGCAGTTAGTTCCATTTCCAGTTCATAGTTGCATCTGCACTCACCCATTAATTTAGTGAAGAAAAAAGTGACACATTCATTGACCCTTGAAACCTACGTACGGCTGCCTAACACACTCACATGCCTTTAGCTCCTCTTCTACTCCCATGCTTTTCCCACGGCGTTGCTGCTGTGCAAAGTGGCTGCCTTTTCACTTTTCTTTTTCATCCGTTAAAGTTCCATAAAACCCAAGATCATGAAAATCTCTAATCCCTTATTCTTATCACTAACAACAATGAACTTCTTTCAATCTATTATCTTCCCATTTCTCTACAACAACAAGGTTCATTTCTACATACCTTTCATCTACTATTATGTTCTTTTTTTATCAATCAACATTGATTCTTTTTCCACTTCACCAAATCAACATCGAATTTTTTTCCATTGAAGAATAAGTTCACCTTTATGTATTTACTATGCTATTTTGTTCTTTATCCTTAATCAAGATTTTGTTTTTCGTTTTCTGCCCACTGCAACAAAGTTCTCAACTTTCTGCATTTACAATGCTATTAATGTTCTTTAGCATCAATAAAATTATTGATTACTTTTTCCTCTTCAACAAAGTTTTCAACTGTATTTACATTTAATGATGCTATAATGTACTTTAGCATCAATCATCATTAATTATTTTTTCCATTTCAACAAAGATTTTAGCTTTATGCATTTAATATGCTATTGTATTCTTTATTCTCAACCAATATTGAATTTTTCTTTCTCTTTTGGTGGGGATTTACAGGCAAAGCAACTTGGGATGTGGTTGATTTGGCTATGGGGGTTTATCTTAATTGGTATCTCTTTTTATGCTACTCAACTTATGCCATTGCCATTTTCTTTTAAAGGTCAGATACTTTTGGATGGTCCAACTATTACCATATTTACAGCGCCAAGGCCTTTTGTGGGTTCCATTGGGGAAAGGCAGGCTCTTGCTGTTCGATCTTGGCTTGGCTTATCACCAGACATTACTGTTGTTCTGTTCAGCCAACAACCTTCTGTTTTCTCCTTTGCTGAATTATTTAGTCCCCGCGTCTCAGTTGATCCCAACATCGATTTCACGTATGAAAATTTTACTTTTATTTCTTAGTTAGTCTCATTTTTGCAACTAGTTTTGGTGTTTTTCGTATCCTAATTGAACTTTACCGCGATAACTGTAAAAGGTAAAGTCACCTTGATGGGCGTGTTTTGTTGTTTTAATGGATAAAGTTTAGTGAGTTTACTCTTATGAGTAGAGTTCAGTTACTCTATTGAGACAAAAAAATAGTTTTTAAGTTCAATTATTTTAATAAGGCAAATATAGTTTCTTTAACTTTATTATCACAATGGATAAGTTCTGTGATCGTACGTTTTTTCTCGTTTATGAACTTTACAGTTGTAAAGACTATAATCAGTCAATCCTGCATAAAAATGGCGTACCCCGTGTACGGAGTGCGTCTGGCTAGTAAGCGGTAAGAAGAGTGGATGTATACTGTATGCAGTATTTGGCTGCATAAAATCTCTGGTATAGGCTGACACTTGAATTTCGTGATGCTAAAAATAGCAATTTCTAAACGAGCTTGATTTTGAAATGATATTTATATCTCTAAGTGGACCGAAGAGAGGAGGAAAACAAGAGTGGCCGGACATGTTTATAGATAACACAACCATTAGACATTCACTGAGAAATGGAATATAGCCACTGTAGTTGGTTAAGTCACTTGTCTGACAAATGGACAAATGGTCCAAGTTGGTATTTTCGCCCTTAATATCAGGATTTAAGCTTACACATTGTCTATGGATAAAACAAATGCATCTAAACGGTTACTTAAGAGAACCTTAATGGAAGAGCTTTAAAAGAGGATCCATAAGATAATCACTTTGTGAAAAAATTACGACTATAATATGGGGTCCTATGGCAAACTTGCATTACTCTTTTTCAGTTTTAGGCTTCAATTGATCAGGAAAGTTTGAATTGTTACTCTTACATCTTTGTCTTTTAGGTTCCTAGGCACACCATTTTTTCATTCCATAGTTGCAAGGTCAAAAGCATCCTCTTCAGATGTTTCTATAGTGATTGATCCAGACACTATTCTCTTGCCAGACTTCATTCAAACTATGAAACATGCTCATAAACTTGATCATGATTGGCTCCTGTTTTCTTCATCAAAAAGTGTTTCCCACTTCCCATTTCACTTGGATGCAGATGGAAAACATTGGCTTCAAGATGATGGAAGCCGAGTGAAGACCCGAAAGGTATGGCTAAAAGGGAACCTTAGAAATGATTTGGACAGGATATGTGATGAGGAAACTCCTTAATTTGAGTACGCCGTTCCTCTAGTTGCAGGATTTCGTTTCACAAGATTGGAAATGGAACCTTTGTGACGGAAAAATGCTAATAGCTTGGAACAATGGAGATCTTCCGTTGCATAAAGGAGTCCTCCCCCCATTTCTATATGGAAAGGGGCTTCATAACCGCTGGCTTATAAATGAAGCTCTGCTCTCTGATTTCAGATTTGTCTTTGATGCTAGTTGGTCCATATCCAATTTGAACCTTAATGATCTTGACCAGGATTTCAATCGCACAAGTGAAGATTTTCTTGGCCTGGCTACTGGAAAAAGGTTTTGGGAAGTGACGGGGAACTCCAATTTAGCAATGCTTTATGGATCATTATATTTCCATGAACAGAACTTCTCTAACATATTTAGACTTTTTCAGTGTGGAGGAGACTATCTCTTCGTAAATTCTGCAAAAATGGTTGTTTACCCTTTGAGGTACAAAGGATCATTGAGTTTAAGAAAACAAGTTATGTCCAAGTCAACAAGAGAGAAGAAAACTTTGGAATGCGTTGATACTATCAGATCAACTAAGGGGGCTAATGACTGCTCTGTGGAGGACTACTGGACTGTGTCGACGCCAATTTCGCTTCCTTTATCTTTAGATATATTACTGTCACTTCGTGCAGACAAAAATAAGACAGTTGTGCTAGCAGTTGTTGGGTATAGTTACAAAGAGATGCTAATGAGTTGGGTCTGCAGGCTGAACCATCTCCAGATCTCTAACTTTTTGGTCTGTGCTCTTGACGATAATATATATGATTTCTCCATCTTGCAGGTAACTTATTTTTTTATTAGCTGATATTCGCCACACTATATGTGATTGATAGGTTGAAATCCATTAGTGCAGCTCGGTAATAGCTCGCTTATTTATCATGACCACCTCAATTTCTGTGGAAAAATATATGTCCTACACCATGCGTAGAATGTTAAGATTTTGTCACCCTCTTTTCTGTTTACCGTCTTACTAAAAGACTAAGATGAACTTGTGTTGCTAGGGCCTTCCCGTCTTCAAGTATGCCAATCTTGAAACCAAGATCAGCTTCGACAACTGTCATTTTGGAACTGAATGCTTTCAAAAAGTAACCAAAGTTAAGTCCAGAATCGTTCTGCAGATACTGAAGCTTGGTTACAATGTATTAATGAGCGATGTTGACATTTATTGGTTCAAGAATCCACTTCCCTTGCTTAGCTCATTTGGCCCGGCAGTTCTTGTGGCACAATCAGATGAATACAAGTTGACAGGTATTTATGTATTTCCCTTTTAAGGACATTATCTTTTTTGTTGAAAGCTGAAATTTTGAGTGCAAGGAACAACTAGTTAAGTAGTGGGATTCATATTCAGGAGGAAGATATCTGCTTATCACATGCTTGTGCTGTTGGAAGATAAACTGTTACCGCCCTTGATTAAGCTAATTTGTCTCTTTATTTGTGCACAAATATTTATGGCTCAATTACAGGACCTATAAACTTACCTCGACGTCTGAATTCTGGTTTCTATTATGCTTATTCGGATGTTACGACTATTGCTGCTCTTGAGAAGGTTGTGAAGCATGCAGCAAACTCAAATCTTTCTGAGCAACCAAGCTTCTATGATACTTTGTGCGGGGAAGGTGGATACAATCGCATAGATGATAGCAGATGCTTAGAACCTCAAACGAATGTGACCGTTCAATTCCTGGACAGAGACCTCTTTCCGAATGGCGCATACAAAGATCTTTGGCAAGAAAGCAATGTGAAGGAAGCCTGTTTGATGAAGGGCTGTTTTATTATTCATAACAACTGGATTAGTGGGAGAAGGAAAAAGCTAGAACGTCAAGTGCCATCAGGGCTCTGGGAATACGATATGAGCACAAGAATGTGTTTGCAGACGTGGCACAAGACAAAAGTTGTGTATTTTTGAAACAACAAAACTTGGATGTTTTTTGCTTCTTCTTGTATCATGGAAAACTTTGGTTTTGCCGATTGAGGAGAATCCAAAGAGATATTATTGTTGGAGGATATAGTTTTCTATTTGGCCTTTGGAGTTATCACTTGGTTCATTTGAGATAATGTTAAAGTTCATAAAGGCTGGCCTAGAGAACACAAAATATGTTTATCTTGTTTATAGAGATATCTTGATCACAACTGTACTCCTATTATGATGCTTGTAGTTGTTGTGGCGGGCTTCTAGTTGCTGGAAATGCTGAAGCTTTGTGGTAACAAGTCAGGACTAGGCCAGAATAGAGACAGAGAATTTGGAAAAAGGAAAAAGTTGAAGGAAACTGATTCATTTAGCCTGAGTTTACAACTTAAGGATATCACCGTGCGGATAGTTCATCCCGGTGGGAAGGTAGATATGTACGAATGTGCCATTTCTGCAGCTCAGTTATTAAAGAACTATCCAGGAAGGCATGTTGCTTTGTCGGATTTTTTCGATCGTCCCCATGAATCTCTTCTCATTGCAGATGATATTCTTATGCCAGGGGCAAAATACCTTTTAATCCCCTCTACTACTGTAGAGAAACTGAAGCGCAAACACTACTCTCATAAAGCAAAACATTTCACTGAAAGTGAGGAGCCTAAGTTGGACCGCGAAGAAGTCGTGGATGTAAGCGGACATAGTTTAGAGGACTCTATATCTTATGCAAAGGACTTCTATGCCTCCAAAGAGAGATGGTCCGGTTGGTTATGGAAGAAAAGGCAACAGGAGAAATTTGTACCTCCTATCCCAACAACAAAAACGTGGAGAGATTCGAGATGGGAACCTAATCTAAATTCAATAGAGGAGATTTCTCCATGAGTATCTATCTTTTCCCGGTATGTCAATTTTTTCATACTGTTTAACTGCAAAGCTCTATCTTTAGCTAAGGAGAGATAATGGTCAGTTTTGCAAGACTGTTCTTTTCCATTGCTATCTCTCAATTATTATATTTTTTTTTTTGAGATTTGGATGTCATTATTTGTGTTAGTTACAAATGTTACCTGCTGGAAAGCAGCTGGAAACTGGAAAGACAAGGAAGGAGTAACCTTTGTACCATGTAACATTGTGCTATGTAGTTGTATACCACAAAACATACACAGCTCTGATTTTAGAAGAAATAAACGGATTATTATCTTTTAAAGTTATGGAACAATTTTTCCGGTTTACATTAGATCTTAACCATTTTGTCGAAGTTAGGCTGATCTCTTTGCTTGGATAAAGTACACAGACACACACACACACACTTTCAGACGTTACTTTGCCTCCTCATTTTCTTGTGTTCCCTGTCAACTGCTTCCCTTTATTCTTTAACTCAGACCATCTTTCTTTTTGCTCATAGTAAATGGCCCTTACTACCTGTGCCTTCAGTCTACAAGATCTTAACTTTAATTTCTTGTTAATTGGGCACTTAGATGTTGACCTACTGGTCCCAGGCATGTGAAGAACAGTTTCAAACTTTAATGTCTAAGATCAACAACCTGATATGGAAGTAAAATACAAAGAAACAAAATCACATTTGCTTAAATCCAACACAAAAGTTAGCAGCTTATATAGGGAGGCAAAGTGCTAGGCAGAAAACAAAGCTTGTTCGTCTTCTAAACTGAATGGACTACTACTCTTTATCATGGATCCTCCACAAGGTTCAAAAATTGCATTTCTCAAATCACGACAAAAAAGGTTATCTGTGTGATTTTATAATTAATCCAAGAAGTTTGAGTGGTGGCGTTATCCGTTAATTTACACTCAGAGTATGTATGATAAGAGCTTAGTGAATATCCATGTGTAGCTAACAGCAAAGGTAGCACCCGCTGGAATTGTTACTAACCAGGAAGTCACAATCTCCTTCACTGTCTCTGCTCTTACACTGTTAAGTCCTCGGGCAAAACCGACACCCATGACTGCTCCCACCAGGGTATGCGTACCTGAGATTGGTAGCCCCAGCTTGGACGCACACAAAACCACAGACGCGGCTGCAAATTCAGCTGCAAATCCTCTGGTGGGTGTTAATTCTGTAATCTTCTTTCCAATAGTTGCAATCACTCTGTATCCCCACATTGTTAGCCCTGCCACAATTCCAAAGCCTCCCCATGCTAGAACATCATTTGGAATTACAATATCGGCTCTGCTGAGCCCACCCTGCAGAATGGACAATGCTGCAGCCAATGGTCCTATTGCATTGGAGACATCATTTCCACCATGAGCAAATGACATGAAGCAGGCTGATAACACTTGCATGTAGCCAAACACACCATAAACTATTTTCAGTTGTGTTCCTTTTGGTCCTGCAATATCTGAAAGAAATCCAATGTTTTTAGTGTCGAAAGTTTCTGATTCTGGTTCTGGTTCTTCTGAACTGGACTTGGCAAGGAGATGACCTAGTTGGCCCCGGATGATCCTGTCAACTACAAAAGCACCAATAGCGCCGCAGGTTATAGCCTGGCCAAGTGCTAGATTTGAAATCTTGCTCAGAGGGAGAGCTACAAAAGAGATTCCCGTGACACCAAGAAACACAGCAATTGGTGCAGCTGCTGCAGCCGCTTGTCCTGGGTTCCGAGCACTATACACAAACTAAAAATAGTAAAAGACGCCAGGATTAGGAATTGTAAGTTGCAATAGAAAAAGTCTTGGTCACTAGAGCTTGAGGAGTATTCATATCAGAAGAACATACCCTCCGGATGCATTTGTACACGAGAAAGGACATTGCTGCTCCCAGTAAAGGTGAGATCACCCATGAGGAAGTTACCCTTGCCAATGAACTCCAAAAGACTGCACCAGTTCCCCCATAAACAAGACCAAAACCAACCATAGATCCTACAATACAATGTGTAGTGGATACTGGCCAACCATAATATGATGCAACCTGAGCAAGAACACAAAATTTTACCAGAAATTTCATATGAGAGTAGTTGGTGAATTGCTAAATGGACAGCAGTGTTCATCTGTCTAGTGTGAGATCAGATAGATGCAGAGTGATATAGTGGAGATTCATCTGAACGAAATATGAAGCGATGACAGAGGTGCCAGCTAAGACTTATTAGCCATTTTTAGCAATTAGAGTCGTTATGCAGTAGGGCTATTTAGTGTTAGGGTACCCTGTGTATTCCCATGCAATTTGGACTGAAGTTCCACTGGTGTACTATCAAGAATTTATCATATCAATAGCTTCTCAGAGTGTAGTTTCCGTGATGTGCAATTTATCAATCTAGAAAAGACACATGTGAAAACAACCAAGAGAGTTTACATGACTTTTAGGCTTTTCTAAGTTCAGCAATCTACAAAATAATTGGCACGGCTTGAAATGTCGTTTACTATTTGTCAGTTTAGGCTAATGACCTAGATTGATAGTCAAAACACAAGACTTTGTTAAGTAATTACTTGTGCCATTCTCATAAGAATATAAAATAAAGTTATGTCAAGCACATATATTAAGTGTGTTCCTAGTTATAATATATGCAGATTATTCCAGGGGAGTAATATCCTTGACAATGTTTCCTTAGTTTACTATTGGAGCAACGACTAAACAACTGCTGGCCTAAGTTGTTCTTAGATTTGTCCAATTACAAGAAACTCAAGACGGTCAGGTATTTCAGTGGGTTTTCAATGTTTGCCTGCAGAATCCTAGTTCGTAACTCCTTTTGTCTCATTGAAAAATTCAGAAACAGAAAGCTAGTATAGGACTACCTTGTAGAAATCAGGAACATCCAAAATTACTAGAATCTCTCACAAGCTAAATTGATTAAATTGTTACTCCATTTCTTCCAATTCATGTCACTGATTTTGTTTTTAGTTTTAATAACAGTGGTGTTTAAGGCAGTTCGGGCACACTTCAATTAACCCCACCGGCACAAATTTCGGATAATTGTATTGTCAAGGCCGAGGCAAATGAAAAGAAATCACCTAGTATTTTTGTATCTCTACTAGGTTTGAATCCTGATCTCGCGGGACTTTTCTGACTTCACTAATTACTAGGCTGCACTTATGTCACTTATTCCATTCTCTGTTTAAGTTATATGTACTGACGATGTAAAATATATACACAATCACGTCGCCTAAAGAGTAATTCAAGTAACTCTACTTAAGTTCATGCATCGATAATCTATAATAAATTTTAAGTAACCTACTATACATTGACGTGAATATTCAATGCATCGTTGGTGTATATAATTTAATACCTTCATCCTAAAATTTCCGATATTTTATATATGGAGCTAGTTTTTGAGAATGAAAAGTAAAGGTAATTTTTTTTGCCCCTCCCCTTAGATCCCCCTTTGATCCTCTTTGTTGGAACTATTGTTCCTTTGGTGACTCAAACCCATGACCCTAAGTTGTAGGTAGGAGGTACTTACCATCTGAGCAACCCCTCTTGTCATATATGGAGCTAGTTTTCAACCACTACTTGTACAACAGGCAAGTTATGTAAACATTTTGAACTATGGATTAGTTGTGGAATAAAAAGGGAATGGTATGTAAATGCACCTGCAACCATGTTCCAGCAGCAGCCAAAGAAGAAAGCAGACCAGCAAAGAGTAAAGTATCCTTTCCTTGGAAAACATTAGCCATAAGAATACCCTTCTGCATTGTATTAGTAACATGTGTTCCCATTAAGAGTGCCCCTGCAAACTCAAGAATCCCTGCTGTGATGACTGCTTGCCTGAGACTCAATGCCCCTGAACCAACTGAAGTTCCCATTGCATTTGCCACATCATTGGCTCCAATATTCCAAGCCATGTAAAAACCAAACAAGATTGTTGTATAAGACAACATCTTGTATTTCAAGGCCAATCCTTGACCCAAAGACTTCATGAAAAATGGCAAAATCAGTGCAGCTAATGCAATGCATATTGATATGGCAGAAGCTGTGCTTGAAGATATGTGAAAAGCTTGTGCCATTCCAGGCAAGTCATCATCTTCCTCAGAAGAAGAATTGGCATGTTCTTGGTGGGATTTGACTTCAAAGTTCTCACCTTTATCACCATCTGCTTCAGCAAAAGATGATAAGGCAGCAAAAGGGTGTCTAAAGCTGGAATTTTTCAGTCTCAAAAATGAAAAGGCAGAACTAATTTGGGGATTGAGTACAAGAAAATCTTTCTTGGGAAATTGGGTTTCATTGGAAAATACACAAAGCCTTTGTCTTGGATAGAAAAGATAAGATTTTTGAGCTACTAACAAGGCTTCTGATTTAGTAGTGTTTCTAATACTAGATAAACTGTAAGAAGAAGTCATGGCTTAAATGGAAGAAAACATTTGAAGGAAAAAAAAACTGTGAAGAGACGAAGTGAAGCAATTATTCAAGTAGGTTCTTGGCCATGGAATGAAGAATAAGAGGAAGAAAAGAGAGGCTTAGTTGGTGGAGGAAGAATTGTGACAGAACAATATGCATAGTCTCTTTTTTTTTGGTTCTGTTGGGATTTAATTTTCCCTTTTTGATCTATAGGTTTGGTGGTGGAAAAGCTAAGGGTGAGAATGGATTTGGCTGCTAGATTTGATTGTATTTCTAATGAGTGGTTGCTATGGGTTCTCTGAACTGCAAGTTCATCTGCATGCCCACTAGTTTTTCAACACCAAAATTGACATATAAATGACACAGATTTTTCTTTCCAAGTTGGATTGGATAAGGAATCTAAAACAAATTAATTTGACATATGATTGTGAAAGAAATATTAAAATAATACCTGGGAAGTTATTAACTTTTAAAAGTTGAACAGTTAGATAAATTAGAATTCTTCAAAATTGAAAAGTTATAATAGAATATTGAACTTAACTTATGTACAGTAATAGTGCAAAATAAAGATACATTATTTTTAACATATCGTACCATATTATTTACTGCATGTTTGTGTTGTCAAATTAGGATAGCCATAGATAGTAATGTTGTTGATCTCCTTAACATAAGTGTAGAAATTATATATTGTTAGTACACAGAAAAATCAAATTGATAAAATAATGCCCAAACATGTTGTAACATGTCATATAAGACAGAACAGATGTGTAGTTTATCCACAAAAAAGAATCTCTAATTTTGTTATCTTTCTACTGCTTGTCATCCATTTAGCCTTATTACAAAACTGAACAAACCTAGTAAGCTTTAGTTTTAGTTCAAGCAAAAACCTTCTACAGTATCCAACTTTTTGGTTCTCACCCGGTG